GGGGGGAAGGAAGGGCTCCGGGCCTGAATTGGAATAGGAAGTTAGAAGCGACGAGCTCAAGGACATGAAAGGAGCCAAAAAAAGGAACTTCAAGGCTTCTGGAGAAATCCAAGGAAGAAATCATAAGGGAAGAACAGTTAGGGTCCTTAGGGCTACTGCCTCGAAGGCTGAGATGAACTATATCTTATCATTTCCGACTTTATCCTGCCTTGCTTGTGCCGCCCTACTTGTTGCAAGCGCCGAGGGGTTGCTCAGTTTATTGGGGCCAGGGGAGGGTGGGTGGGTGCCACTGGGTGCAGTGGGTGCGGGTTGTTCTCAGTTTATTGGGGAGTCTTAGGAGAGGGCCCTCTCAGTTACCGCAGATGGAATCATTTTCACTCAGTCTGGCTGCTTTGCCAGAGTGACCATTGCTCCGTTGGGACCGTCGCTTCCTGACCGGGCTGACCCACCCTCCACTCAACCAACTTTAAGTTGCTGACATTCAATCACTTTACCCTCAGGCTGAACCCCAAAACCCCTCCGTAGGACTACTAGTATATCAAAATGGTTAATCTTGACGTCAACTATTACAAGGTGCTAGCCACTGCTCTGTTAGTCTACTTAGGTTAATTCCGTCCTCGACGGTTTTTTGCGATTCCTAACGCAGAGCCGCGTGCCGTTATGCATTGCATTCCAATGATTCCAATGATTCGATGATGTCCTTTGGGGGAAGTTTGGGCCTTTGGGACTTTGGGCCTGGCGTTCAAGGGTCCCTAGCAGCACAATTAGGGGTCCAACTCATGGGGCTGGAATCCCATCTTGGCAACGGACTGCAATTATAGGCAGGATTCGAGCTGTTTCAGGCTTGGTTCGTCCAATCGACTCCAATGGTATTAGAATTTAGAACAACTACTTTCGTCTCCAAATCAGTCGCTCTTTCTTTGGTGATGATCATTGATCATCAAGAGCTCCTGTGGTCCTAGTGCCGGTCTTCGGACATATTACAGTGACGATGACTCCCGACGAGCGCTATGCTGGAAGCACCAGAATGAATGCCGAGCGCTATGCTGGAAGCACCAGAATGAATGCCGTCCGGCGTCCTTGCATTCACGATCCTTCAAGTTGGGGTCCATAGCTTCACAAGTCACCTGCTTGACGACAATGCCAGAACTCCTGGGACAGCTTGAATGAGTCCCAACTGGCAACCGGCCATCGTTGCAATTTGCAAGTGTAGGACTCCACCTTTCACCAACAAACTGCAAATAGGACTGTGAATGTGTTCACACTCTCGCTGAATGCGGACCTGACTGTGAAGTTGTGAACTGATTTACATTAGGGGAAGCTCGAATGTAGCGGACCTCTGGTTGCAAATTAGGCAGTCGCGTCGCAGTGCATCAAACAGTTCCGCCCTATGGGTCTATCATCGGTGAAGCGAAGTCTTGAACTGCGTTCAAATTATACGGCCTAGCAAACCGCTGCCAGGGTAGTAGGTACGAAGCAGAGGTTAGTAGGTTACTGCCGATTCGGCTGCAATGGTTTGTTATCGCCAGACTCCAGTTGCCACGTCGTCCGCCAGGGATCCCTACTTGGCCACATCTGGTATCATGTGGTATGCTTGGCTCGCGGCGAGTAGAAGACTAGGGAGTTTGCGCATGGGCTGTCAGGAGTCAGGACACAGGAAGGGTCACAAGAATTGGAGGACAGTGGAGGACCTGGTGTGGACTCAACTACTGATTGGTACAGATGCTACAGAAAGTTAAACATGAAATGATTGAAATGAATATGTACAATCAAGATTAGTAGAAGTCAAACATGGATGTGTTGATGGGAATGCGACTTTGCCCAGGGTGCTCCGGCACTCTCCTCCGCTCATCCGTCCTCTTATGTCTGTCATATTCTCACTGCCTTCTCCTCCTGAGGCTCCTTTCACCCTTCCTCAGTGTATCTTCCCCTTAATCCCATCCTCTCCCATCCCCCGTGGCGGCTCCCATCTCTTCCGCCCCCTGTAGTCTGAAGCCTGAAGGGAGTCGGAGAAAGGAGCATAGCAGGCGTCGGAAGTGGGCGGGCCTGGAGTTTCTACGGACAATATCCTTTAGGCCATCGCAGACACTCTCACTCTCCATGACTCGGCCCACGTTCAGAGAAGGGTTTACAGACAATCAGAGGGTCTCAGACTCTCAGATCACACATGATCCCCCCCCCCCCCCCCCCCCCCCCCCCCCCCCCCCCCCCCCCTCTCTCTCTCTCTCTCTCTCCTGTCTCTTATACACATCTAGATGTGTATAAGAGACAGAAACTAAACTCGGATAGGTCGCGCCACCAGCGAGCCTGTCGAGGAGTGAGCTTCGACTTTGTCAGAAAAGCCTGGACAACAGAGTTGTACGTGCGCACCGTGAATGGTGCCCCGTGCAGGTAGTGACGC